GTCAACGGATGACTGGATCTTCATCCGAGACAAAACATCCTGTCTGACTCGTTCTGTGATTAAGTCACCTAAACTATCGCACCACATCCAGATGGAAACTAGCCGTAAACACCAAGATCAGAAAATAAGTCAACATTCCACATATGTGGTAGACCGACCATCCAATTTTCAGGGAATCGAAAGAACAAACCCCAATGGCAATCATCTCTGAAGTGAATAAAGTGCACCGGTTTAATTTGACGGGTAGTAAGAAGCAAAGGAAAGGACGTTATGCATGCCCTAGGAACCAGTCTTGTTTTCACTGTTGAATGACCGACATATTGTCCCACTGAAACAAGTTGGTAAATCGATTTGAAAGTTGCTTTCACTGAGTCCCATGGCCAAACTGTCGTTCCTAACACAGACCTAATTCATCTATGTTCCAGCACATGAACACAAGACGGCTAGGATGTTCCAATTTTCGGACGTATCACGCGGGTGCTTCTAAATCGATCCGTTCGGTTTCACCAGACAGACTTAGAGAAAAGCACAACTAATCACTTGCTCATCGGTTCAAAAAATGAAAAGCATCTCACTCAAGTACAGATCAAATGTCATGTCACCTATTACCATGGTACATGAATTCAACGATCCGTAATTGCTTTTGGCTAAATCCAATCAATAGGCAGCTACGACTGGTTACTTGTTTGGCGAAGTTCTCTACATGACTATAGAAAAATACGTTTGTTGGTTTACAGTCGCACGTCGGATGATGCAAGCAGCGAATAAAGTGAATGAAGACGGTTCGCGTTGCGATGCTCTTTGTCCAAATACTGCACCCGATTAAATCAATCGATTGTGGTAGATTTATTTTATTGATGGAGGATGAAAATTCGCAGTGGGTGTAATTTCGTGATCGCCAGGTTACTTTCCGGTCCTGCCAAATGATGCCTCAGATCTATAGTATATCTAATGAGCACGTTCTATGAACGAACAGCTATCGATTAATCTGTCAGCACCAACCTTCAACCTTGTATGAGTGAATACTATTGCCTATCACAGCAAGAGTGGAATTAATCCCTGGACATGCATGGAATTATCACATCAACGAATAAGTAAATGCGCAACTAAGGAAAACCAGCGAAAGTGACCCAATGACCACACTTTTATTAAGTGTGATGAAAAACTGAGCTGATTTACTCATGAAACCCAGTTTATAATTTAGCGATGAACAGATATCGTAAGGACTGTGACAACAAGAGTTCGTTGGCACACAAAACGTTAAGTCATACTTCGCCAACATAAAATGGATCGAAAAGACAGTAGAGTTTTGATACAAACCGCTTTTTTTAATTAAAACAATCCATATGCTTGTCTGACAGACATAGAAACACGTAGAACAAAGTCACTAAAATAATGAGGGCCCCAGGGAGATATTGAAAGGAAGCAGTTGCTTACAAACTGCTCCCCACACGCTGTACTTTTTTACGACCGTTACGATGGAACTGCAGTATTTATTTTGTCTGAAACGAGCAGTGACTGAAAGCCCAGATCCCACGGGTGTGAGGTGAGCCTTGTTCTTTTCCCGAAGAAATGTCTTGGTGGAGTCCATCTCCTAAAGCAATTCTTGTGGAAACCGTACTTACCGTCTGTGAATGATGAGGATACTTCCACTAACGTGAGAGCGATAGTCGATGTTTAATGACATAACTGGATAGATAAAACACGAGGCCCATTGGTCTAGCTAAGATGACTTTATCACTCATTATTATCAGTTGTATCTCATCGTTTACGGAGCGGAAATACAACATTTCTCTTTTGCAGATCTACCAGTGCCTTAAAGGAATTTATTTCAGTTAGCTTCTTGGAAAGGATAAACCAGTCTAATGAACGTCGTGGAGAGTTGGTAGACTCTGGTACAAAAGACTACATCTACTTCACCGTTTTTTTCCTCCAGAGGACATCTTTGGTCTTGGAATAACAGCCAGGTGCTGACTGGAAGGCAGCAATGTGTTCGCTTCCCTCAGTCACCATTCGATAGTTGTGAATGGAACAAGAGGCATCATGCAGCTCCGCTGTATTTGGATAGATTTCTCTCACAGGAAACAGAACCAGTCCGCTAACTGAGGGATAGCAGTCTTTGCATACCGTACGCTGCCTTACTGATATTTGAGGCCTCGGTTACCTTAAAGCTGGTTTTACTCGAGTTTCGAACAGTAAACAGGGATGTGGACCCTTACGAGAACCCCACCTAGAAGCCTGGGGTGAGAGTTTGTTAAATTAAGAAGACAAAAGAGGGAAATTATGGGACGTTGACGATGCCAAATCTTATACTCCAATCTGCCAATCGTAGCTATTTGCATTAAATGTGCCGCGGAAACGTTGTGCCGGAGCTTGACCTACACAGCTAAGGGAATTTTAGAAACCAATATCAGGATTTTCAATTCTTATTTCAGGTCTCGACTGTGAGGATAGGCATATCGTGTACTGTTCAGATATAGATGACAGGACTTAAACCACAGTAGCATACTAGGAAGGACACAGAAGAAAAAACAAGTGTGTGCAACACTATGTACAAAATCGTGGGAATCAAGGCTGGAAAATACAACGGAGGCGGGGGGGGCAGGACTAGTGGCAGGATGGAGCAAGGAGATGGGATATAAAGGACAGGTGAATCACAGAACGAGAGAGAAAGGGCCAGTTGCGCAAGGAAACTATTCTGAAGGCACACAAGGGCGATCAGAAAGTCGGTGAGGACAGCATAAACAGCTGAGACTTTCGCGCGGTGAGCCATTTCAGGAGTGTTTTCCGAATTTCTTGCAAAGCACCTTTTGTGGTCAACGGTTCAAAGGTCCCATACAATTCGAATGTATCGGTTTTCTGATTAAAAATAAGATGAGAAGAAATTAGGCGGTACAAATGAGTAGCGTTTCGTAGTGAATCGCTCACCTACAGTGATTGGTCACACATGGTTTCGGTTAAAAACATAAACCTCGGGTACTGGCATTGAGTCGCTATGCAATTAACGCACAAAACCGATCTCGAATTGTTTAAAGTGAAATGATCTGATAATGTGGATGCCCAGATGCATGCGAAACAGAAATGATACAAAGCCAATTCAAGAAAAATTTCCGGCAGAATCACTGCCATCTCGTCCTTCGACATGCACTTTGAAATATGTGATGAATTCCATGGTATTGAACAAAGGTGAGGTGAAGTAAAAAGACACGGTACAGCTGTTTCGAATTTGTTCGCTTTCATCGGTAGTGCTAATCCACAGACTCGATTGAGGAGTAGTCCCGTAACCTCGCAGACAAAGAGCATTCATAATGCTCGTTTGACAGAAAGACAACCGATCAGATCAGCTCTCCCTCTCTCTGGCTTCTACACGACAGTTTGGGAAGCATCTGCCGTCACTTGAGTCTATGTACATGCGCTATCTTCGGCTTGAATCTGCTGCTAACATTCTAATGTTCATTCTGCTTTTTTATCCAAATGGGCAACCAAAAGACAGCAACTAAAACCGGTGCACGATAGTGTATGGTTAATGGTTGTAAGAATTGAACTGAACTGAACTGACCATCGCTTTAGCCCCCACGGGCCAAACCGGAATCGTTCTGATATTACGTGTTTTGATCGTTATTGTTATTTATAATATTTTTATTACTTTTATTATCGGTAATTAAAAAAACTGAAGTTTCTTGAACCCCATAGGATCTGTGCCCATTGGGCTTGGATGGCAGTACAAATGAGATAATGCAATAATACATTATTACATTCACTTACTCATGGGTGCTGGGCAGTTAGGTGTTTCATTGCTTTATCGAGCGAATCGATGGTTGGAGCACATACAACTTGGGATAGAAGAGAGTTCCTGGTAGATCATACCCTGACGCTAGGGGAGTGGCGAGTGTAGTCTAGCTGACACTTTCGCGGCAACCGTTTAAAGGGATGTGCCATTAGGTGATCTTTCTTGACTAGTTTCAATAGATTAATAGACGGGTGATTATGTTGATGTAGTGTTCGATACACGAGGATCGCGCTTCCCCGAATTCGGCGGAATTAAGATGAGTGGAGTTCCATAATTTGCGGTCTTTCAATATAGGTCTGAATCACAACATTTTAACCAATTTGATTAGACTTTCAAGCGCTTTTTTCAACACTTAGCCACGGATTCCGAGCATCGATGAAGTACATAATGTGCGGTCTAATGCATACTGATGGTCAGCGCGACAATAGTTCTGTTTTAAACGGTCCCAAATCACGTTTGAGTAATCCAACTTGCTTTAGGGCCATTACTCACAATCAAACGCATTAGGGAGAACATTATAAGTCCTCCCAAACAATAAACCACAGCTTGTTCTCGTTTTTGGCAAGTGTAAATGGCTGACTTCCAGATGCGTATGGAAAGCGAATCCTGTGACGTAACGATAGCACCTTCATTTCTCAACGTTAATTTTGATGTCAGATAGCAATGCTGCGATGCTTATGGTAGAACTGATACGCCAAGTCAACTCCGTGTCACAAACACAACCACTAAGAGTTTGAAAGTCTTTTGCAGGTGCTTAATCCTTGTGAAAAATCGCCTCGGCAGAACTTTAATGTTTATAAGAACGCGAATCCAGATGTTTAGGGCTCCAAATATACTACACATCATCAGCCGATCAGTAAGCTGGGCCCCAGGAGCTGCTGTCATTTAAGCATTGCATGGTTAATGGTTGTACCAACTGAAACGCAACTGACTGCATATATTAGATAGTGCTCAACCCCTGACGTCTAGGTGAACAGGCCTAGCGGTGACATATGGTCCCGGAAGGGGCGGATGTGAACACCTAAGCGTTGACTTAAAAGAACGGTACAGTATTTATTTTCAACACATTTCACTGTCGTATGCTGCGCCTGGAAATTTTCTTACTATAATGAATGAGAGAGATACTACTGAGGCTCTTGTTTTACTGGTTATTAGTCCAGATATGCATACGGCTGGTAAACGAGGAGCACCAGACAGTTGTTTCGTCCATGCGGGAGAGAAAAACGCCTGTATGATTGAAAAGTCACAAATGGAACGAGTGAATGCTCTATTATAGGATGATACTTGTACATAAGATGGATTGCTAACAAAGTGGACATAGAAAAACTCTCGAGAATTCGGGTCTACACGCAATCCTTGGATTCTGGGGTTTATAATTCGAGCGAGTCAAACCAACGACATCCCTAATTGATCACATTAATTAGGTTCGAGGCAGATCGCAGTTGCACAACTATGACCAAAGCTCACTAGCCACACCATAAACTCGAAATAAACTGGGATTGAAAATAAACACCGCCAACTTTGCGAATTTCCACAAACCAAAGACCAGGGCTACAAAAGAAATGATAATAATAATAATAAATGGTTTGGGACTGAGTGACAGTGCGTGACTTGCAGTCAAGTGGTTTATGGCTACCTGGAAGCATCATGGCCCGAAAGGAAGCAACGTGGGTTCACGCACATGTTAATAACAGTGAGAGATGCTCTGGTGCCACTACCATGACAGACCTGACGCGACCGATTTCGTGGCTCTCCGCTTATTATAACTGGCAGGGGAAACTTCCCTTGAGCATTCCCACGGTATCGAGTTGATTGATGGATTGAGAGCAATCACCACCGTGGGAAAGTGCCGGTGTTTTCCCGATGTTACTGAACCCGTGGGAAACAAGGTAACTGACGGAACAAGGCAGTTTGATTTGTCCACTCTGTCCATCGGTGCTCTCGTAATTTCTATCCCGATAAGCATGGCACAGTTTTCCGTTAGTCAATTCACTTTTCTCGGGCCGCAAATAAACGTTCTCACTTTTAAAATTATCTTTTGACTGGAATTGTTGGGGGAAAGTCTCACGGGCCACAATTCGCTAAGAGTCTGGCAGACAAAAAATGTCAAAAATGATAATATAACACCTTACTTGTACACAGCGGGTTCTCATATAGAACAACCAAACGGCCTCGATAATAATGAAACGTGCTTAGTACAACAATTAGAGTGATATCCAAAAACCAACAAACTAATCGAAGGTCTATTTTCACGTTTAGCCGGTCAGTGTGAAGATTCAGAAGACTATTTATCACCTTATGCGCTGCGGTAGGTCATCGCACCAGCAACCGAGAAAGATCCATCATAGGATTGTCACCGCAATGAACTCTAACTTACTCTTTACTCCCCTCTTTACTCTCCCAAAATATGCAATATTTACATGTGCCTGGGGTCAGTACAATCATGAGCATAAAGAGAGAAAGCTGTCGTGTGCATTCCCTTTCACGGGACTGCTTAATATCCACCCCAGATAGAAAGTATTCATTCACAGAAAATAAAACGCAAGGTAGGCATGCTGGTAATGACGATAGACAGATAGTTAACGATAAAGTAAGTTTTTCATTGTGCTCCATAAGAGGACCCCCGTAGAGAAGAACCAGATAATGGTCGCATAAATAGACCGAGAACGTGCTGATCAGCGAGGATTGTTTTAACATACCCATGCGAAGAACACCTCTTCAGTTGTAGACTGGTAAACCAATCGGACAGGACGATGCTGACAATGTAATCGGGCGTGCATACGCCGATAAGTGGCCAGTATGTTGGCTCGCATTGTTTGCACATCGATGGATCCGGTAGAGGTAACATCCTCAGATTGGTCTAAGTCCACGTACGGAGCTGTCCATCGGGTGGCTGCAAATTGCCCGACGGGGCTGTATCGATAGACCAAGTGCCGCAGTTCGAGAATGCCAGTCTCCCGAACCGATGGGGATTGAGCATTAGCTATCACGGATAAATACTCTCCATCATTAGTCGAACGGAGACGCTGTTATCGAAAAGTGGAGGGTTATGCACCACTGTGAGTTGCTAATGTTTTCATTACAAATTAAGATAGCATGATTAAATAGTGCCACGATGAATAAACGAGGATGTCAAAACAAACAAACTACCGTCAATAGACGATTTGTTTGAACAAACACGTTCTAATCGGTATGATGTAATGAGGTAAATGGGAAACCTTCTCGCTAGTAAGGTTCTCTTCCTAGATTCAATGAGCTTACATTTGTTAACCTTTTCGTCATAGATACGTTCGAAGTTCTCAATGTTTGTTTTGTTTCCTGAAAATTCCGCACAAACTCATGCTGTTCAGCAAACGAATGTTTGCATGAATGCATTTAACATGATCCTGTTGACAAACGCCAATCATCATCAAAACAAATTCATGGGACATGATCACTGTCAAGTCTGGTCTGCACAAGGCAGTCATTGATGTGCAATGCGATTTACATCTACCATTCTAGCTTAAACTTGCAAACTTATCATACGTTAGCGACACTTATTCACATTTCAGATCAATCACTAGAGAAGGGTCCAATGCTAAAAGCCTCAAGTTCACATCACTGTTTTTAGGCACTATTGTGTCCCAAATTTAATAGGCAAATGAGCACACAACGAACGAAGCAGTAAGTTTATTGTAAACAGCAAATAAGTAGCCACTACACAAACCGGGGAACAAGCAGGAACGATCAGTATGTAGGAAGGAAGTCAGGCAGGCAGAGTCCCGCTCACACGTTTCCCTACATGCGAATACCATCAAGCCGGAATTCAAAGTCAGTCAATCGATCAACCGATCGGTCGATCAATCAATTCGGCCACAGGCATGTATGGATATAAATCACTCAGTTGTAAGCCATAACAGGCACTGCAGACACTAACTAATTGACAATTACTAACCTCTACATTGTACTGATCGACAGTGATAAAACATTGCTTCACCGATGAAGAAAATAAGTTGTCTTGGAAAAAAGACATCACATACTGGTAGGACTGATTTAGTCACCTTCGAAAGTATTCGGCTAACCAGGACTGAGATTTCGAAAATGTGACGATTGCACAAGTACACAAAGATGAAGTATCATTACGATCGACTTTGAATGTGTGCAACTTGCCATATCATGCAGTGGTAAAATGGCTGGCTAACTTATCAGAGCCCGATCGAACTTACGGAGCAAAATACGGTGCTAAACACAGGTTGTTTTGTAAACCGAATCATGATATAAACTCACTGGACGTTGACCGGTCAATGAAACGATTGAATACTTGTGCGGTTAGGGTGCAAAGTAATAATGCAGAGATAGGCCTTCCTTTGGAAGACCTAGAATAATTGCTTTATTAATGCACGCATATTGTTTAACTCAAGTTAAACAACGAGAACTATTTCACAGCAGGGTGACGTGGCCATAGTCTACCCGGGACCAATTTTTGCGGAATTATTCATGGCGAAACTCGATAACGCTAAACTACAATTATCTATTGAAGACTGTGTACCCTGCACACCGTACGGGACGATATTTTTTGTGATATCAACGAAACATGGAAACGAACCGAATTACTGCCCATCAAAATATACCGTTTATTTTAGAAATAGAATATAGCAGCAAATTACCCTTTTGGATGCCGACAATTCTCGTCTCTCATATGGTTCAGTGCATAGAAAGGTAAATTGGAAAGACTGATGCATTCAATTCCGAAGCTTTAAGGTAGAATGGAACCCGGTTCGTTGCCTAGCAGACAAGGTAGGTTTGCACTGAGGACACGCTAGAAGATGAGCCTCAGTTTATAAGATCAATCTTTGCACGCAATGGCTGTCGGGAACGTAAGGTTAACAAAATGATTCAGTGCAAGCAGAATATTTTACAAAACACCGAGGTTGAAAAGCTTAAGTCCTAAAAAAATATCTGATGCAATTGATAAGACGTTCTGTGCATCAAATTTTCACATACAAGCCTATTGTGTATTGGTAGCTGAAGGGAAAACTTCCCGACTCGGTGGTCTCATTCTGCACATACTCATTTACTTGTTCATGAGGAATAAAGAACATACGCAGCACAGTCAGGCGACTGTCCGAAAGGATTCGTGAACTGCATTCCGCAAAGATTCAGTCGCTCAGCAGTGCAGTGGTTTTACACCTAGCTAAAAAAAATAGCACTGTGGATGTGCCTGAAGCTTTGTATCTCCTGTATAGGGTTTTTGTTAGACCATCAAGGCAGGTTCGCTGTCAGATGCTAGCAATAGCATATACGGTGGGAGATAGTCTGTCTAAAAGGCATTTAAGCACCTCTAGACCATCCCACAAATAGACCATATCTTGGGTAATCTCGATGATTAGATGTGTGAAGAAACAACTGTGCGACTATTGTAGATCTCACTTCCGGTCTCATGATGAAAACAACCATGATAAACGGTGATGTGATCTTTCCAGGATAGTTTTATCCTTACTTGATGATATATATATATATATAGTGATATAACGGCATGATTACGGATCCCTGAAAACAATCGAGAGCATACTTGGAGTGACGCAATATTATCCGAAAAACCTACTTCAAATATCGCATCCTTTGCTTCCTGAAGCGCATAAAATTGTGTGTTGTCGACCGATAACAGTGCCAAAGAGATGTTGTCATCCAGGTAGGCAATATTTGCGTACAGAAAACCGCTGAAAAGGTGATAAGAAAGAACAAATAATCATGCTGATCAGTTATTCTTCTGGGCCGATAATTTGTCCACTATACGATTCGGTGTTATGTACGGCGGAAGAGGAGAACCTTATGATAGTAAATACTGCAGTTTCATGACTTATAACTGGGAACCATATAAAACTGCAGTGGGTTAGGCGTGACATTGATAAAGGCAACAGAGAACTTATCTAGCGTGAAAAACGGGTAGCAGATCCCATATGCCTTAGTTGCAGAGCTGAAGACTTAGGATTTGGAACTTTAAATACCACATTTCAGATTCCCGTCCACATTTAGTACACAAAAGATAAGTGTTAAAAAGGCTCACCGCTGTCCACGAAGATGCAATGTGTAGAGAGAAATCGGTTATCAGGTCAGGAAAGACGACAAAACAAACAGAAAAACAGCGCGACAGAATATTATTCTTTAGCAATCTGTGGTTGAATTAGGCGATTGGATCGATCCCGATCGAGACGAGCTCAACTTAGGTCAGCTAAAATCAACATCATCTATCTCATAACATTACTTACAGGTAACTGTGGGTCAAATGTGAAAAAATTCAACGTTGATGTACGGCAATTCCAAAAGTGAACTGCGCACTCTGGGGATAGTAATGATTTGGCAGAATTTTCTAACCTTAAACACAGCATTAGTTGGAAGTGAAGCGGGTCGTAATACTGATTATCATAAAGCATATATAGTAACATCGAATTTGGGCATGCGTCGAAAATTGTGGCGCAAAAGACGAACAGAATGCGGCTATATCAACGGACTTTTCTTCCGGACACGCACAATTGCGAACAGTTAACATGTCCGCTTTGCTTGACAAGTAGTGGTCTACAGGAAGTGCGTGGCTCAAACCATCCACGTGTCACTTGTAAACTCTCAGTTCCGGTCCGACTCGCAGGCGTCTCATTTGTATTCGCTGTCGACCGAATTGCGAATAGTCAGAAAAAAATACCAAGTATTTATGAAATAACACTCAAAGCCCAGGAAAACTCATGCATCACGAGAAAATTTAAATTGTTCCGAAAAGAAAAAAGTTACATACTACTCGCGGAATGAAACACTGGTGTGTAGACTATAAATAAACAGGCATTCGTTACGTTGTGAACTAGACCGCCGCGTCAAGATGGAAACATATCTTTCAAAAACAAAAAAACATATAAACCCACAAACCATGTCCCTAAAATAACAGTTTACCTGGTTCTGACAGATGCTTACTTCAACGATTTTACGGTGCTTCGATGATGAGTTCCTTCCTGAACACAAATACATCGAGCTTTCTCCTTAATTCAAGAACTTCCACGAAGCATCAAACGAATCAACAACAAATTATTATACTTCAACTTGATCTTAATCTGAAAAGCCGAAAACCTCTCAACTACCGCCAACATGGCTTCCGCCGCCATAAACTAATTGGCGATCATTTGGTTTTCTATCAAAGACCATCATAGTGAGTCGCATCTGATGTCTTTCGGTATATCCAAGGCGTTCGACAGAATTGGACATTATAAGATTGCACGTTTGGACTCTCCTCGAGTTTCCTCACTTTGTGAGATTGGTGACTGTATCACTTTCGTTGGTATTGATGGGGTCATTTAGGGGGCAATGCAAGGGAACCTCGGCGCTCCGAGAGATTCCAAGGCATCTTCCACTGCAATCTGTTTCATTATTAGAGACTTATTCTAACAAACTCCTCATTCTATCCGTGTTTTTGCTTGTGACGTCAACGTACATGGTTCTCTACCTTACAACACTTCCCGTGGTTTCTCTATCGTCATCGTTTCCATTCGACTGTTCGTGTGCCTCTTTTAATTCGCAGCTCGGTGTCATTCATGTTTCGTAAAAAAACCGAGCCGTGCTTGTTTGTAGTTACCCATCGTGTGCCATTTTTCTTTGTATTCACCTAGGCCTACATCTTCTGTATTACTACCTGGTCTCTGTCTATTCTTGCATTTCTTTAAGTGCTTTTCGCTGATTTTTCCCTTGCATCCACCCTTCAAACACTTATTCGCCGCTGTGTAATAGATAGGCTATTTATCCCAATCATACTAATAATACACCAGGTTTGCCCCGCGGAGCTTGCCAGTTTGATACCACTCCCACCTCCATTTACTCAAGAAACCCGATAACAATCACTCTTAAAAGTACCGTTAAGAACCTGTTGAATGACGGGGTAAAAATCCTCCTTTTTCCATGAACCGCGGAGTAGTACAGCACTGTTTCCCACAGTATTTCTCTTTCTCTTAATTGTTTTAATATTTAAGCGTACAATCAACAAATTCTGTTTTGAAAGCATGTTTCTATCCACGCAATACACTAGTCTTTGTGATTATGGGGTTCACGCCTTCACGGTACATTATGCCCGCCGATTCATCGCTCTCTCTCCGTACAGCATGAACAGCACATAAAAGCAGCGGTGTGCCATTCACTAATATTTGTCTGAAACTACTGAAGATCAGACAACAAGAAGGCTCGTGCATTGTCCTGCTGTGCGGTCGGGAATCAACAAAACTGTCCGTGATTTAATCACGAGTTTGCTCGATATACGTGTTTCCACCGACCGACCTTCTGCGCTGCCATATGTCCCACCTTAGATCGGAATATAATCATAAACGATCAATTGGCGGACCATAAAAAATAGCTTGCTTGACTAATATCAAAAACAACTGACTAAACCAACCTCTAAGCCAGTGAATGGGTAATTTCATTAGGAATTCTTAGGGCAGATTGAACTAAATGTTTCAATGAAGTCGGATTTACGCAACCACCACTACCACCACCACCACAATTAACATCTCCACCAACTTACTTGGCATCAAATTTGGGCAAGCATATGGGAATCCAATGGGTCTGAGCGTCTTTAAACGCTTGAGTACTGCTGACCAAGTTCACGATCAGATGCAGATCCATGGGATGGAGCATTTGACCCTTCATTCGTACGAAACTCACAACTCGATTGCGGTGCAATAGTACGGCAAAAACCACATCCTTGAGAACGAGAATAACATGGAGAGAACAAGTTAGATGTGGACAAGAACACATTTCCTATTGGAGAAAAACGGCATAAGCGACTCAGGCTACAGACATCAGTGACTGAATGAAGGAAAAGGCACGGTACAAATGGAGTATGCATTCAATGCGGATACAGTCATGGGCTAGTGTGCATGATGCACATGCGGAAACCAAACACAGATTAACAATGAGAAAGCATCCTATTAAGAAGTCACTAGCTGCATTTTTGACAACCGATTGTAGATAAGAGTAACATACACATGTACCGGTGCTCGCTTCAACAGCTGCATGTTCCTCAAAACAAGAGTATTACATTTTGGGCTATTTTTGAATTTATAAGACTGAAAGAAGAACTTGTCAAATTGATCAGAAGTAGTCCTTCGCAAACCACCATTTTTTCTCAATTTCATACGACCAGCTCCTGGGTGAGAATAAATCAGCTTCTGTGGTCGCTGCTGTTCAAGTTTATTGATTTGCAGCAAGATCTGTAGGGATTGATACCCAACCCCACTTGCATTCCCGTAGACTATAGATTTTCCTATGCCTAATAGCTCCACAGCCTCGTTGTCCATCTTAGCACAAATCTGACCACCCAGGTGTCAGCGCAAACCTGTGAGTGGAGTTGATACTGCAGTCGGAGAACATGGTCGAACCAATGGAGGCAGCGGTGCAGCAGAAAAACATCTTGATTTTGATGTACCGTCGTCGTCATTCCGCACTGGAAACCCTTCAAGAGTTATCGTAGGCGACAATGATGGAAGACGTCCAAGTTGCACACCGCATGCGCGTAATGATCAGGTCTGACGGCTGTATGTAAGGATAGGAAGGACTAGTATTTTGGTGCGCAGGATAGTCTCACTGCATTTACATAGTGTTTTAAACGGTTGCAGAAAAATTATGCATACGATATCTACTCGTAATGTGGTTTCATTTATGGTCTGTTCGTTGGGTATGATCGCAGAGTCAGTATATTGGAGTGTTAGTACTGCTTGCATTGTTTCGTTAGTGCTCTGGTTGGGGTACGCTGAAGGATGTAACGTCGACGAACTTTTGGTTTTCGACGAGTTAACGTCTATTTCGATGATTTTAGCCAGGCCGCTGATGAGAATGATGACCGGTCGGGAAAGTCCCTGAGGATAATGACTGGTTAGTTACGCGTTCGGCATACCTATAAAAGTGTTTCACTGTTACGCATGAAAATACCGGTGAAAAACTATGAAGAAATGAGTATTCAACAGGGTGCGTAAAAACAGGAAAATGAAGTAGCAGACTGGCTACTCTATATCATGCATACATCTGATAGGTGACGTTTACAGAGTCCTGAAGATACTTCATCAGGTGGTTAAATCCGGGAAAGTGATCACGAGTTTGTTGATGTTATTGAGTATGCTGGAATGTATGCATAAGGCAAGGTACCTACTACACTTGACCGACAAGGAATACACCAACAATCAATGCAAATAAGTTCCGTAAGAATGGACTCATTGTATGAGTCACTCTTTTGATCCAGGCAATTGGATGATTCCATCTGATACTATTTTATAACTATGGCGTGACTACTTATAAGTAATGCAACGCTGAAAGTAACGTGTATGATGCAAAACACTGCATGTCGTCCAGGAAATTAAACGGGAGGAATCGCTTTTAAATGCGATGGAAATGTTTGTGATAACCAACAAAGGGTACTGGACATCTGTTTCTTCCTGTTTGGGACTCGTCACCATTGACCATATAAAGGGAAGAATCACCATTTAAGAACCGACAAAAAACATGTTATTTCACATATTTTATCATAAAACTCATGCTCAAATTATGAAAAATATACGATAACGTTCTTCCCGTTTATATTTCGGTGAACTGCAGCTGCGCACCCCAGTGCGATTCTGCCTGTACCTGTCCAGCAGGAATTATCATTTTCGGCATATGAAAACAAAAACCTCTGAGGCAGTACAAACATAGAGCGTAAAAATTCCAAATGTCAACTAGTGTATGTATATGTGCGTGCATACGGGAAGCCACAGTGAGTACAAACAAGAGTACAACATGAAGGTCGCATGCCAATAATAGGTATACCACTCACCTCTACCTGATCATGACTGCGAGACTAGATACGACATGATGAGGCGGAGAACCTCATTTAGAATGAATGGCTTAGGTGACACACTATTAACTGCATGAAACTAGCAAACAACTTAAATTACGATGATTTTAAAAATAGCGTTTGGAACAGAACAATCGTAGACGACTGGATCGAAGTGAGAGGAAAAACAGGTAAGGGATAAGGAGCACCATGATTATGATTGATATTTTGTTCACATGATAAAAGTTTACAAATGTGTGGCTGATGATATTGACACCGATTTAGTTTGGTGTGTCTCACAATGTAAACTGGCGGTGTGTGCGATAGAACCAGAAAGTAGCGTGGTACAAGAATGCGGATAGAGTGGTGCGATGACTGGTCTTGAAACGCTGCGTACCACAGCATATGCCCCCCTCCAAGAACTTGGCTCTTTTAGAAACCTATCGATACCGAAAAAGATAAAAGCTGTTTTCATTTTGTAATTATTAAACAATGAACCATGCGGAACGTACACAAACAGCAAAGCCAACAACCTTATGCTTGCATTGTTGTTACGTACTCAAGATGTCCATGTGAGCATAGTTATTGGAATTCAAATTGGTTTTATACTACACTCACCTTCTGAATTTCTTTCTTACATTTCTATTCGGACCAATGCCACTGAAAGCCTCAATATGGTCGGGGGTGGGTGTCTTGGGTTGCGGCTGGTTATCCTTCCCTAGCACCTCGCGAAGTGCTCCCATACGACCAAGCATCTCAAATAGCCTCTGCTGAGGAAACCCTACTCACTGCCTTCTCGCGGTGGAGGATTTCCCATCAAAGTGAGAACGAAGAGCCAACATCCGGGGTTATTACTGGATGGGTGGACCATTGGCAGTTCACCTAGGAGAGTTGGCCAAAAATCCTGATTCCAAACTAACTAAGACAGGGCGTACGAAAGACACTAATCCTCACCCTCCTCTTTGTGGCAGTGGTCACCGGCTCGATTGGACGTCGAGGTGTATTGGACACCTTGAACATTTGACCCCGTCAAAAGGGCGTATGATCCGATGAACTGGATACTGGTAACCAATGGATTTCGGTTTTTGCACACCGCCCCGCTGGTTTGCGGGTCAGGCGTTGGCTAGCCGAAAGCTCCGGTTGCGGATTCCTCAGGAAAATCCACATACATTGACCTGGTCAGCCTGACAGTATTCAGCCCACATGCAAATCATGGAAAGTTTTTCTTTCTCATATAGATTATTGTACCATGAATTGTTTGGCACACAGTCTGGCGTCAGCCGTGTGTGAAATATAATAAGAACAATCTATTAGATGATGATGTGGAACAGCGTTCGAAGAACTTGAGAACAAAATCTGATACAGGAACATGAGCCATAACCTACCACCACCCAGCCCTCAGAAACCAACATCTGTTGTGTTTAGAACTATTACAATGAGGAAGCAGTTTGTGGGACAGAAGGTAGGTAGGTTTGCTTGACTCGTAGTTAACACAGCGAACACGAGGGAAAAGGTCAAACACGCAATGTTAGCGGTCAAGGTGATAGATTGGGAATTATCCACACAAACAGAAGCAGTGCCCGTGAATGTGTACGTCTATTGTAAACGACTGTGCAATACCAACGACTTCCCATCAATATGTCGTGACTGACGTGTATAACAATCCGGTTAGTCACTTCACGTTTCAGAATCAGGTAACCGATTTGCTCTTTAAACTCACTGCGTAAAACAAGTCGGAGAAAATCAAAACTTAAGTGCGCTTTACTCGATTCAATAGCATACTCGAAGCTTGAAACGTAATAGTGATTCTGTGCACCCCTTTTCAGTCCATTTACTTTCTTGCTCCGTTTTTTATTTGAAACCCAACTTTCTTCTAGTGCAGACAATACCTAAAAACACACAATCATTCTTTTCATACATCAATCCCCTTCAAAGCTAGTGATTATACACTTTAATTCTCTGCTCAGTAGAGTTCACCGCTGCCTCTCAGTTAAATCTGCCAAACCGAGAGCTTCAGACTATTTGGATGAAACCTTGGTTTTCCTTCGCTTAATGATTGCTTCAAGATTGTATACCGATCGACAAATATTAGTGACTATTACGTTTTGGATATTTTCGGAACCGAAATTGAAAACATCGGAGAAAAAGACTCCGAAGCATTTCGGATGTTTTTTATATTCACAACAGGGAATGGCCCTAGCACTAAGCAGGGCCGTCTCCCTTGGAAGTGAAGCAGAGAACTGCTGCCCTTCTACGTAGCTTGTTCTATTTTTCCCTTTAATCCGTGGTGCTCCTAAACCCTTAAACAATTACCGGAATTCACGAACGCACGAACCATCAGAGGCCTCATGTTCCATTCACCACCTCGTATATAACGTCCTCGTGGATTCTGGAGTAAACCCCTTTAACTGTATTCACCTATAAGTAACAGTAGAAAAGCTGATAAATTCCTTTCAGTGAGTTCACTGCGGATGAAGGTAAGGATTTTACCCCGAGTCTCAAATTTTATTCCGGATATCACCTATCATTAAATCATGCCACCGGAAAACAAACACAAACAAACAAGAATAAAAGCCGACGCATGATAAGAAGAAGTCTACATAAACAGGATTTTCGGGGAATTTGTTTTTACTACCTTTATATTTTTAAGACCCAGGAGGAATAAAAATTTTGCAGTTTAATTTGATTAGACTTGGGCAAAGTGGAGCCCTACGTGTAACAGAAGTGTGATAGCCAAAAAACAGTTGGTCAACTGATAAACTGAATCGAATAAAGGGTCAGTGGTACACAAAATAATCGAAACGGCATAAATTCAGCCGGTATATTGATTGTGGTAATAAAAGAACTAACCAAAAGACCAAGACTATCACTATTTGTTCTAAGTGATGAGTAAGCTAGTTATAATTTTAAGGCTGGAATAGGGGTTGCATCAACACCTTTTGAAGGCTAACTAGCATGTCGTTGATCTTTTTCATAGTCGAGACCGGTAGGTGCATTCGGTGGCATTCAACCGTTTTATGCAATGCCTAACCGCCGGCTATTTCCGACAGAGAGCGGGGGAGGGGAGGAATTCGTGACACAAATCAACACTAAAATAGTCAAAGTGTATGAAGGAAACCAATCGAATCTACTTTATCACCAGGGAGAGTGTAAGCAGAAAAACGGAAAGAGGTTGAAGATGAAAGCGAAACATGGTACAACCTGATGTTGTCTGGATTGGTTTTGAGGGCTCATCCGCTTCCTTTTCCTCTTCGTATCTCTATGCTGAGCTTTCCGAATATGAGGGAAAATCATCTCACCATGTTTTACAGCACAACCGAAGCACTTTGTAATTTTAGTGATAGTATGAAGTTTCTGTAGCTCAGTTAGTGAGTATTGTGCACCGAACGCTATCTAGATTAACGAGGTGAATATCGTCTTATACGGCCAAAAAGTAGTTTAAAATCAACGAAGTTCGGCTCGGAAGAGTGAAACTGCAGTGGGACGTGCATGATGTATGCAACGTGAAAATATTCGCAACCAGCAAACACCGGGAGAAAGATCAACAAGTATTATCAACTTCTGGTCCGCGTGAACGAAATACGGTTAATGCCATTCGTGTTGAAATATCCACAAGAGGCCAGACTCACATTTTCCAATCGCCTTACGGCACTACTACTGACAGCATTTATTCGTGTGGGTTTGACATACATCTAGAGTACGATCATTGGTCAGGCGGAAGGTCAATAGTCCGCATGGAATTCATTGATAGGAGCCATTTACTTTTTAGATGGCTGTATGACGGAACGCAGCTTTAACGCTAAGACCTATATGTTTCACCAGGACTTGGTTTGCCAGTTTCCTCATCAAACAAATTGGGTTCTTGGTTCTAGTGTTTACCGTTTTTGCCGTTTATTGCACAAAGTTTTTTCATTTAAAAAACGAAAAGGATTAAAAAAAACGTGGATGGATCGCGACTTACCCGGTTTTTGACCGAATGAATGATCATCTGTGAAATGGCATCTCGAACATTGGTGGCTAATGGTACGCAAGTGACCGCCTGCAGAAATGCATCGAACGAATCCTCGACAAAATCGATGATTGAAGAAATCAGTCGCGTGTCACCCACTAACAGTCGGCGCAAATCCAGATTGCGTTGACGTTCAAATCGCATTTCAAGTCGCTGAAGAGTCAGTAGGCTGAGGATCTGATCGAATTTGCAGAGAACATGTTACAACTGTGTAGACATCAGAACTGTAAACCAGATGCTATCTAACCGTCACTCAGTTCATCTGAGGGTGTCCAAGAGATTTACGTTACCATCATTTGGCAACGCAAAGATAAGTACGGTGATAGGTGGTTAGCGGGTGACGGAGGAATGCAAGACGATCAAAAGAGTAAAGAACAACAGCACTATACTGGTTGCCCCCAGTAAACAAAACGTGCCTTTTAACCAAGATACATACCGGAATGGGAGGCTCAACCGGACGGAAGGTGAAATACGGACAAGCTTAAGAGAAATTATTGTTATATATATATATATATATATGTGTGTGTGTGTGTGCGTGTGTGTGTGTGTGTGCGTGTAACTAGCTACGAGAGACAGCGCGAACTAAAATAAAATAATTCTCTGCTGGTCAAAGCATTCGTTTCTATGTCCACAACATTGAAAACGGAAATGACAGTTTATGGGTTATGTAAAGTGAATTGAATGTAGCCTTTTCAATTTATGGCAAATAGTCAGCGATTCAACACACTTAGAGCATTCAGAAAAGAGAACAGAAAGCCACCGCAAAGTGCCGAAATAGAAAGAAAACCATCACCAAATTTAATCAAATAGACTTACCTGACTATATACATAATCCAACATCATACCAAGATGTTCTTTGGAATCACGAAACCGACCAAAAGCTACCAGAATTAGATGGGGTTTTCTTAAAAACACGAAATGGCGTTCACCGGCGGATATTGACTGCAGTTCATCGCCCGAAGTGGCCACAAATGATACCAAAGCCTGCATAACCCCAATAATAGACGATAGACGGCTTTCGTCTCCGTATCTGGTTTTCATTAGCAAAATAAACATGGATGATAGCTTACCTGGAGTAGATCGGCTTTCCCGCTTCACTTAAAACGAAAACATGTGTATCCTTTTGCCGCCATTCCGGAATGGTTGTGAGACAACCAAAATCCTCTTGGTCGGAATCTGTGGTACGTTTCACATCACCGTCTGGGATACTTTCAGTTTCAGATGAGGTATACTGTTTAAGATGCGTCACAACCAAACACAACTAGTACCTCAACCGCAACAGTTCCCGATCCCTCACGAGTTTGTTCGAGTATGTTTCTGACGGCCCCGGTGGCTTGCACCATAAGTTTTTCATCCACAAAAGCTGACGTAGTCGAATCATGCAGCAGTTCTGACGATTCGACTGGATCATCATCATCATCTGTGTCAGAGTCACTCGTCTGGACACAGGAAACTGGCGCATCTATACTGGCCATTGTGTGCAGATTTGTGAGAAATTGCCTCGCTGTGACAAACGCTGAAACAGATGATCATTTCCAGCAAGAAATGTTCGAGATAACTTTTGCAGCGTTTTTCATTTGTGAATTCAGTACTTACGTAAAATGTTTAAGAAATAAGCGAACTCCATCAGAAATTGGTGAAATAAAGTATGAATCCAATGGCAGATGCTACATGAATAAATTGCATGTTGCGAAAATAGACCGCGATGGATTTTTTATGCGTGAAAGTCCTTTGAAAGGGTACTGCTGTGGAGTTTAACTACCAAGCAGAAAAACGATTAGGGTATTTAGTTAACGAGAAGCTGTGATATGATGATGATCAAACTAATTCTCCTATGGTTCTCCGAAGAGCATCCATCCTCTTTCTTGTAATAGTACAATAGCCATCAAGTCATATGTCGATGGAATCACCATCATCGGGCAGCATGATACAGTGAACCGAACTTCACTGATGGATACCAAAATCGATATTCATACCCGGGAAGTGAGATTGTGTAGGGAGGATAGGGATTGGACTTAGTTTTAGGGGCAGGAGAAACAAAGGGAACATCTAGGGTCAAAACAGAGTACACACTCTGACTGTTCATTTACACATTTCAAGCATTCTGGTCTTATAAGAAGTAACAGCAAAATCGCCACTGCTCTCGGTTTACTGCCACGACCTCCAATGTCTCCAACCATCCAGTTACGCAGTCTTTTGGACCCCAACCCGGAATACGAGACACCTGCTCTACCTAATCGTTTCGCATGGTTCTCCATACCTCGTCCCAACGTCATCTGCTGGCCTTCAACTTTTATGGCGGTGGCGCAGTGATTTATTCACTGTCATCGGCGTGCTTTGGACCATATGGTCAGAGATTCGAGCCCCGCCACCGCCACCGTCACCCGACTTTGGTGGTAGGCATCCCTGCTGCCGTTCGGTTCAATACCACACCTAACCTTTAGGGCCTTAGGTGGTTCGTCACTCCAAGTCCCGGGGTTTAGGTTGCCGGTTATCATTACTGAACAGCAGGTCCTGGTGACTATGGGATTCGCTCCGTTTGCTTTTTATCACACTTGGGTGTATAGTAAAAAACTGCTTTCCTCCAGTTTGGAAAGGTCACTGCTAAAAAGGCGCACTTTCAGTCGGCAATCGCACTCACTAACATTCGCGGCCTGAATCACAAAACTGATTCTGTACATCAATTTCTTCAGTCCACTTCCCCTCTTGCTCTACTTTTATCCGAAACACCACTTTCTGCTTCTACAGATACCACACATCATCAGTTTCCCAATTATTCTCTTCACACCTCGTTCATCTCCATGGCCGGTGTTCGTGCTTTCACCCATCACTTAATTGCTTCTACCCCGTTCTTCCGCCTAAATCTCACCAACCGCGAGTTCCAGACTATGTGGCCGAAACATCGGTTTTCATTCCTGCAATCACTAATTCTGCATTGTGCACCGTTCTCCAAATAGTAATGACACTTCACTCTTTGATGAGGTCGCCTCGCCGCCTGCGTCTCTCCAATGGGAAGAGGTGCATCACCCCAATTTCTCCTCTCATGTGTAAGATGTTTGGCTCGTGTGTGCGGCAGGATGTCCCCCGTGAACGAATACACCAAACAACGGCAAGTGGGTCAAGTCTAGGTGTGGGCTGGAACCGTCGATAAACAGAAGGTACTCCGTGAAGATAGCGACAATCTGAAAGAGAGGAAAATGCAGACAACATGAACCAAAAGGTCGAGTGAGACATGAACACGACTCACACTCAAACGGAATGGCAAGTTGCCAAGGTCGTTACACATACGAGAGCTTCCTTAACCCTCGTAAGAACACAACGACAGAGAATCATCGTAACTGCACAACCCAGTTATGTTCCATCCAATGTCCAATGTCCAGTTTACAGGTGGAGAAAGCACGTTGGTTTGTAGTTTTTCCTGTTTCTTGATCTATACGGTAAAGTCTGATGTTCTGTTTTGAATTCTTTTATTCTTGTAATCTGTAAGTATAAGCAAAAAAGAGGTTAGTATGTAGTGACCGTGATTGTACGAAGAAGAGGAGCAATCCACGAGGACGTTTTCCGTTCATATTTTCTTCACAACCAACTCTGATTCTAACTGTGATATTTCTTTGTTTTACTTCTGTTTGTTTTACCGAGCACGGTTTTCCGCTCAGGTATATATATAAGCTGGGTCCTGTTTCAAACCCAGGCAACACGTGTGACACGCTTTCGCTCTGCTACTGCATTTATTGCTTGCATTGTTTAGCGTCACCTTGGCACGTTTCGGTACTATCTAGTACCAAGATTCGCCAATAAACGTTTACGAATCCCACGAGTGTTTTTGTCTACATCGGCCGACGAGACACTAGGAGGTCGCGCGCATTTTGAGACTCGTAAGTGTAACGTGCAGCCGTAGCGCGGCTATTTTGATTTGACTGTGAGTCGTGTGCATGTCTCACTGGACCTTTGGTTCATGTTGGTTTGTTTTCTGTACCTTGCAGATTGATCGTAAAGGCCCTCTGGAATCCCACGAACACTGTTCCTCAGTGACTCCCCGGAGAGCCCAGGAGCACAGGTGTTTGGTCGTGTTGGCATTCGTATATCGAGTGCCCGGCCTTGGCAATAGAGCACGGGTATTCGTGTATCGAATACCTGCCCGAGTGTATCTCGTGGCTAAAAGGTGACAAGCCACATAACACCGTAAGCTCAGAGTGCCGTTGTGCACTACAGATTTGGCGACGGGGATGGGATAATTCCCCCCGTAGAGGTTTAGGCTCTGGGACACTGAGGACAGTGTCCTTTCGTGGGGAGGAGCAATGTAACGTGCAGCCGTAGCGCGGCTATTTTGATTTGACTGTGAGTCGTGTGCATGTCTCACTGGACCTTTGGTTCATGTTGGTTTGTTTTCTGTACCTTGCAGATTGATCGTAAAGGCCCTCTGGAATCCCACGAACACTGTTCCTCAGTGACTCCCCGGAGAGCCCAGGAGCACAGGTGTTTGGTCGTGTTGGCATTCGTATATCGAGTGCCCGGCCTTGGCAATAGAGCACGGGTATTCGTGTATCGAATACCTGCCCGAGTGTATCTCGTGGCTAAAAGATGACAAGCCACATAACACCGTAAGCTCAGAGTGCCGTTGTGCACTACATAAGAAGACTTACCGGTAGGTCGTCAACTCCGGTTAGCTTCATGTAGGTTACTTCTTGTTGGTGTAGCTGGTTAGTTACCTATGTGTCAGCTAGCTGAACCAAATTGCATGTCTTACGAGGTGTGAGGCGTGGACAGTCCGGAGGTCCACCTGACTCGAGGTTCCCGTCCACTGCCGAGGTGATGCCCACGGCGAATTTATCTAGTCTTTGCTTGAAGCACGCTGTCGTAGGCGCAGAGACCACTTCCTTGGGTAATGAGTTCCTAGCGGATGTGGCCCGGATGGCGAAGTGTAACCGTCTGCTGTTAGTACTACTCCGCTGGTGCAATATGTTCTTAGAGTGTCCTCGCAGTTGTTGGTGCGATGATAGGGCTATCGGTTCGCTGTTTGGGTGACTCTGTGTTGATACTATTTTGTGTATCAATATTAAGTCCCCTCTCAGCCTCCTGTAGGAAAGGGTAAAGAGGTTGAGTCGCCCAAGTCTATCTCCGTAGCTCAGTTGCGATAGCCCGATGACTCGCTTGGTGGCTCTTCTCTGAA